GTGTGTGTGTGTGTGTGTGTGTGGTGCATCCCTTGCATCAATTCTCACCTAATCACAACTTTCAAAATCAGCTGCCTTGTTTTTAATTAAAGAACACAAAAGTGAGGTCATATAAATGTGAAAAACTGACATTTTATTTCCATTTAGAACCTGATTCTGTACTGTTTAAGTTAGCCTTGGGCATTATAGAAGAACCTAGATAGACAGTATTCCCTCTTCCCTGTTCCATAACTGATATTTAGTTTTGAATAAATCAATCATTTGAAATTCCCTTTTAAAATTATTTTAATTGAAAAACTTTAGAAATATCTGTTTTCTTTTCAAAAATTTCAATTTTTTCATCTTATTGAGGAAATAACTAAAATTAAATTCATGGTTATGGTCACCCTGAAAGTTTAGAATATAATCTACCTCTTTTTCACCTCTTGGTTACCTCAGTATGGGAGAAATAGCATAATGTTTTAATGCTCTGTAATGCAGTTCTGAAATAAATAATATACTATGGATCCACTCCTGTAAGCCCCGTGGGCACACAGCTCCCTTTGACTTGAATAAGAGTTCCCTATGTGGAAGGTTTGCAGGATTGGTCCCCGATTAAGGGTGAAATCCTGCAGTCATTTATCAGACAAACTCCTATAGACTTAATTTAAATTTGCACAATATTTTAAAAGAAAAATGTAGAAATGTAGAAAATAGGGTTTTTTGTAATTTTTACAAATGGTGGAAAAGGGGACATGCCTAGCTAATGCTGAATGAAAAAATATTTGGGCCTAATACAGTAGAGATATTGTTCAAGAGTTCATACTTGTGGAAATATTACTCCTGTAATTGCTGCCAAAGTCTCTGAACTCGTGGGTTAGTTGCCTTGAAATTGGTAGTTGTGCTGGTGCAAGCTTACATTCTGGATACATTTTCACTTTACAAAGCAACAGAGAGTCCTGTGGAACCTTTAAGACTAACAGATGTATTGGAGCATAAGCTTTCATGGGTGAATGCCCACTTTGTCGGATTCACCCACGAAAGCTTATGCTCCAATACATCTGTTAGTCTTAAAGGTGCCACAGGACTCTCTGTTGCTTTTTACAGACCCAGACTAACACGGCTACCCCTCTGATACTTTTCTCTTTACAGTTAGTGCAATTGGATCACTTTCATCCATTTTGTGAGGTTTCCTGCTCTTTTTGGTCTTTTGCAGCCTTACAACATATGGAACCTGCTATATGTGCTTATTCAAGGCCCAATATCCTGATTACTGCAGTTTAGTTGGGAGAGTTATAGCTAGGTACTTGTCTGACTGAAGTACATGACATTTAGTTTTCTGAATGGCTCACAGTAAGGGCTGTTAGAAAAAGGTTCCTTTAGTTGCAGTATTTAACATATAGTATCTAGGATTCAATCTTCCCATTTTAGATTGTTTTGTAGAAAGCAAAGCTATTTCCTGTTGATTATAATATGAACACTTTCCAGGACTGATTGGCTACAGAGCAACATGGGAAAGATGCACTTAGATTATCTAGGGTGACCATGATCAAAAGGTTGGTATCGTCATTAGTAACTTCAATAATGATCTAAAATAAATCCAGTCTTGCATGTATTGTTAGTATGTATTTGAACTTGTTTAAAACCTGCAGTAGTAGCACATTTTACACAGGTAAATCACAGTGCTTGTTTGAAAGACTGTAGAAGGGCACAAGTGTCCCCAAAGATGCAGAGTAATTTAGCATCTCCTCTTCCTCAGTTTAGCAGATGATCTCCTTAGGGGGCTGTAATATTCTGGTGACTGAAGCCATGCTGGGCCAGATTTATTCCTGACGCTACTCTAATGAAGTCAATGCTTTAAGGAATAATTTGGCCCACTTTTTACAGCCTTTTAAACATTTGATTTTCTGGCAGCTGGTCATTAGGCACATGATGGATTGGATTAGATTAGATTAGATTAAGATAAAGTAGATATAGCTCAGAGTTAGGGAGACCAAAACCCAGCTCCATCACTCAGTAAGGTACAGAGAGGAATGACAAATTTGCAGGATAGGAACTACCCAAGTGACTATACAAAACAACCATTCTCCAAAGTCAGACCAACTGAACTGGTTAATGTGCTACCGTTCCCCTTTAAAGAACAATCTGAGTACATATATAAATTGCATATCATCAATGCTAACTATATGCAGTTTTTCATTGCTAACTGCACTGTAGACATTGAACAAACATTTCTTTTGTTTCATGGCACAAATAAAATCAATTATATTTGTATGCAATTTAAATTTGCTATTTCATTTAGAGAAGTAAAATTAGAAGTATCAAAGAAATTATATCCCAGTTGTCTTGAACACCTCCTGCAAAATGGTCAATGCACTTAGCACCTGACAGCAGCAGGTCCTTATATTTGAACATGATTATGGATTTTTAACTTACCATAATTTCATTTTTAGCTCCTGAGATACCTGCTATTGACCAAGCTTATTCAAAACTGAGCAACAGTATCACAGTGGAATGGGCAGCTGTTCCTGGGGCTACCAGTTATCTACTGTCTGCACAGGATGGAGAGTCTTTCATTGAAACTATAGTCATAAATTCACCAGGCACAGTGACAGGATTGAAGGCTGCTACACTGTACAAAATCACCATCAGATCTATAAACTCTGGAGGAAGAAGCCTACCTTCGCCTTCAAAGAAGGCAAAGACAGGTAGATTTTGATTTTATATAGCAACTGTCATATTACTAGAGTGCATAACATATATGGCTCATGGAATTAAATGTATCTTTTAAAATTATAGTACAGAAAGTAAAAATAGTTCAAGCATTTACTGGGGATGAATTAGTGCAATCTTTTATTTTAAATATTGAACATATCACCACTGCAGTGTTCAAGAATATAATTATAGGTCATTAGGCACATGATGGATTGGATTAGATTAGATTAGATTAAGATAAAGTAGATATAGCTCAGAGTTAGGGAGACCAAAACCCAGCTCCATCACTCAGTAAGGTACAGAGAGGAATGACAAATTTGCAGGATAGGAACTACCCAAGTGACTATACAAAACAACCATTCTCCAAAGTCAGACCAACTGAATTGGTTAATGTGCTACCGTTCCCCTTTAAAGAACAATCTGAGTACATATATAAATTGCATATCATCAAAGAAGGCAAAGACAGGTAGATTTTGATTTTATATAGCAACTGTCATATTACTAGAGTGCATAACATATATGGCTCATGGAATTAAATGTATCTTTTAAAATTCTAGTACAGAAAGTAAAAATAGTTCAAGCATTTACTGGGGATGAATTAGTGCAATCTTTTATTTTAAATATTGAACATATCACCACTGCAGTGTTCAAGAATATAATTATAGGTATATAGATGTAGTGGCCTTATGGCCAGTGCATAGGACTGGATTTCTGAATTCAGTTCTCAGCTCTGCTTCTGTACTTAACGTCTCTGTACTTTAATTTCTCATCTGTATAATGTGAATAATGACATTAAGGCTTAATGTTTTCAAAGAGCTTTACCGTCCTTGGGAGGAAGGCGTTATATAAGTGAAAAGTAGACATAGACCCATGCATGTAGTGGTGATACCCAGCTGATATATTACTGTGCCATATGATAAATTGAATTTATCACTCACGTTTGACCAGTTCTCAGAATTTGGCTTTGGCTCAAGATGAACAGTATTCAGGCCTGAACCAATGATAAAGTCTAATATCCCATCAAGACTAGAAATGGGAGTTTTATACGTTCAGGAAAGAGAGATTCCCAGTCTGCCTGTGGGACACAGCATTGAGAGACTGGGCCTTAAAATCAGGAAATGTTTATGAATAGATAAATTATGCTGGGTAAATTTTATAGATTTCTGAAGTGTGTAAGTTGTAATTTTTCTCTAAGGCCTGGACAGTAGGCCTTGGTATAAAAAAAATTATTGGAACCCTTTTAGGGTGACCTGCATAACTTACGCATGGCATAAGTAACATAGCTGTCCAAACCCACGTCAGTAAAATGTTTATATGTATTTCTTTATATATTGTTTAGTAAGTCAGTATAACCTTGTGGCTTTACCTTCTAATAGAAGACGTACACTGACATTCTTAGGGTGTGGAAGGGGTGGGGAAGCAACTGAAAGGCGGGGTAAGATAACAGGACAAAATAAGGGAATCTAACTGACCTCACACACTCCTTTTAGTTGCTTTTCTTGCTGCACTCATCCACTTTTCACCCTTTGGTGTGCCAGTCACTTTCACTATGCAAGTCTATTAAATAGTAAATTGGTGCAAACTATGCTAACTTTACCACTTTATTCTCTGATCAACTTATACTATTTACATCACCACTGAATTTGGCCCAGAGACGTCCATGAAAGTTTATTCTGTTTACCCTATGCTGAATTTGGCTCTTCTAACTTTTAGACAGCATAGCTATTAATGAAAATCCCAATAGTTAATGTATATTTGTAATTAACAGTCTTGGCTGCTCCGATCCTGTCTGTAAGTTCTCCAAGTTACAACTCCATAGTGGTGAGCTGGGGAGCTGTATATATGGCAGTTGGATTCTCTGTGTCCATCATGAGATCAGACGGTTTAGGCAGTATGATGAAAGAGAACACCACCCATACCTCCTTGGTATTTACCAGTCTAGATCCAGGAACTCTCTATACCATCAAGGCACATGCCTGGAATGTTAATGGAATACCTGGAGATGATTTCACGTACAACCAAATAACAAGTAAGAACTGTTTGCTCTTCTGAAACCAAAGTTAATGTAAAATTATAATTTAAAATGCTATTGACAGTAGTATGTGTGTTTTTGACAAGACACATTGGGGGTATATCCTCAGCTGGTGTAAATTGTCCAAATGGAGCTATGACAATTTATGCCAATTCTAGGTTCAGGAAAGTTCTAGAGGACATAGGTCAAATTTTATAAACTTTACTTAGGCAGCTCTACCATTGACTTCAATTAAAGTTTTGCCTGAGCAAGAACTGAGTAAAGGAACTTAGGATATGTCTATTAATATTTATATAAATATTAAAATTTCAACAGAAATTTTTGTGTCAGAGCAAAATTAAAGTAATTGTTTAAAAAATTCTGTGCAACTGTAATAGGTGTAAGAAGATGGCTGAGGCCTATGCCACAAAAGTTACATTTGGATATAATTTGACGATGTTTGGATTCAGGGGTCTGGTTGACGATCATCTCTATAAAACACCAGATACTAAGTGTATTTACAGTTGTTTCTAACTAATGTAGGTCCTCATGCACCATCAGATGTTCAAGTTGCTTTTGATAGTGGAACTTTGAGGGCCACTGTTTCTTGGATACCAACAGAGGGAACTTTAAATTACAGTGTGACAGCCAGCAGTGGAGCCTCCAAACTGAACTGTAGCACATCTTCCACTTCCTGCACTTTGTCTTCACTCCAGTGTGGATCTGAGTACTCTGTTTATGTCATAGCCAATAATGGTGCTGGATCCAGTAAACCTACAGATGCAGTGAGTTTAAAAACTGGTATGTGAACTATAGTGACCCTTGTATAGCCCATAATATTATTTCTCTTTTGCCATAAAATTAAAGAAGAAAGCAAAAGTTGCCCAAATTTTAGCTTAATATTAAATAGTTTTAGGGGAATTTGCTATACTAATCATTAAGATATTTCAGAACAGTTAAATACTGTTAATGTCTGGCCCTCACATGGTATTACACTCACACCTTATTTAAAAGATTCCATTATTAGGTATATAAACTGCCTCATCATGGTTGTCCATTGCAGCATTCTTTTAAGTGCTGCTATTTCCATAAAGCAGTGCACTGAAAAACTGTTTTGCTGCTGCATTTTACTTTATGGAAAAATATTTTTTAAAGAAATTGAGCTGTATTTTGCTCTCAGTGACACCAATATAAATCTGAAATAGCTCCACTGAAGTCAAGTAACACAGAGAAGAATCTGGTCCATCGTGTTTATATAAACATATTATTTTTATCTCTAGCTTTTTAATTATTATATATTTGAAAGTTTGGGGAAATCAGCATTGGGCCAATTTTATCTTTACAGGTGATACAAATTGCACCTGTCTTCATCAGCCCGGCTTCTTGCAACTCTTGGGGATTTCTCCCCCAGAGGAGGGCAGGCAGTATTTTACCACCATTGCTCCCTAGGGATTATTCCAGGGAAGGTCAATTTAAATTTCCTTATGGGTAGAGGTGCATCCCCTGGCTGCTCTGGCCATGTCCCCTTCTTAGCCACTGCCATCCTCTTTTGGGGGTTGGTTTCAAGTCCCTCAGTGAAGGGGATATTGTAGGCACCTTCACCATTACCTCCTCCTGCAGAATTTCCACTTCCAAGGGCATATGCCAGGATCTGTGCTATTGAAAACTATGCAGACCCTGGGTGAACTTGGACTATCATTTATGGGGAGGTAGGAGGAGAAAGACCCTTGTCTTTGAGTGTGACCTCTACTGGAGCGTCTGTTGCTCTTGTTAAATATTGAGATACTGTGTTTCTTTTATAAGAAAATTAATCCCTATGTTGAAAAAAAGCCTCTGTTTCTGTGGTTATCATGTTATTGTGGCACTTAACAGTGTGTATTCTGAAACTTTTGTTGTACTTCATGCATGAAGCTTCACATTTACCCTCTGAATCCTGTGCTAACTTTATTTTTATTTCTTTGGATTATTTTGAGAATGGCATATTTAGTTGGCAGATACAACAGGCCTGATTTTCCTCTCACACCAGTGAGAATCAGAAGAACTTCAGTGAAGTCAGTAGAGTTACACCAGTCTAAAACTGGTCGAAGTAAGAGGAGAACAGGCCCAATATAAGTAGATGGTGTGCAAGCTTCCCCGTACTGAGTGAGAAAGGATAATCTGGTGATTAAAGCACAGGACTATGAGTCAGGAGACTTGTATTCTGTTCCTGTTTCTGCCACAGAGACACTCTGCAACCTTGGAAAAATCATTTAACCTAGTTGTGCCTCAGTTTATAATGCTGCCACCTTACCCTAACTTACTGCACAGGAGTGTTTGTAAGACTTAATGTGAGCGTATTAGAAAAATGGATTGAAATTCTTCAAAAAATATGCTGTATAAATGCAAAATATTATGAAGTTCTGCCAACATACCCAGTTCTGACCTCCAGTGCTCCTGTTATTTTTGTCCTGGGTTACTCTTAAAACTCAAAGACCACATTTTCCTGTTTATACAATGCCGACCACAATGGAGCCTGGGTCCTGAGTGGATCTTTGGGTGCTACCTTAAATACAGAGGATGATGATTAATAATGATAATGCAAAATTGGTTGGTGATAAGATTGACAAGTCTCCAATTCCAGCTAGAGCGGCACCACTACATTGAATTTCTTGCTTGCGATCTAAACCACTGAACCAGGAAGGGAAAAGGGAAACGTTATTAAATCTATGAACCACATGGTCCTCATTTGTGAGTCTTATTTTGGGATGCCACCGTAAAATAAAACCTAAGCAAAAAGACCAAGCTTTTGATGAAGTACAGAGTTAACAACTGATCTGATGCCATTATACAAGGTGTTCTTGTGTCCAGGCCATCCCTTGCCAACTGTTATTCAATCATTTTGCTGAATGCCATCCAAACCTACAAATTGCTATCATAGATATTTCACTTCCTTGTTGAAATACTGCATGATGCCTGTGCTGTTATTTATGTGTGGCCCTTAAAATGGGATCTTTTTCCTGCTTGTGACTGAAATAGCATGTACTTTGTTCTATAAAAATTTTATAAATTATTAGGGTGTTAAGTGATTAAAAAAATTAATCGCGAATAATCAGATGATTAAAAATTTAATCGCAATTAATCGCTCTGTTAAATAACAATAGAATACCATTTATTTTAAATTTATTTTGGATGTTTACTACTGTACATTTTCAAATATATTAATTTCAATTACAACACAGAATACAAAGTGTACAATGCTCACTTTATATATATTTTTGATTGCAAATATTTGCACTGTAAAAAACAAAAAAAAATATTTTTCAGTTCACTTCATACAAGTACTGTAGTGCAATCTCTTTATCATGAAAGTTGAACTTACAAATGTAGAATTATGTACAAAAAATAACTGCATTCAAAAATAAAACAATGTAAAAATTTAGAGCCTACAAGTCCACTCAGTCCTACTTCTTGGCCAGCCAATCACTCAGACAAACAAGATTGGTTACAATTTTCAGGAGATAATGCTGCCTGCTTCTTGTTTACAATGTCACCTGAAAGTGAGAATAGGTGTTCGTATGGCACTGTTGTAGCTGGCATTGCAAGATATTTACGTGCCAGATGCGCTAAAGATTCACATGTCCCTTCATGCTTCAACCACCGTTCCAGAGGACATGCTTCCATGCTGATGATGGGTTCTGCTTGATAACGATCCAAAGCAGTGCGGACTGACGCATGTTCATTTTCATCATCTGAGTCAGATGCCACCAGAAGAAGGTTCATTTTCTTTTTTGATGGTTTGGGTTCTGTAGTTTTCACATCAGAGTGTTGCTTTTTTAAGAGGTCTAAAAGCATGCTCCACACCTTGTCCCCCTCAGATTTTGGACGGCACTTCAGATTCTTAAACCTTGGGTCGAGTGCTGTAGCTATTTTTAGAAATCTCACATCAGTACCTTCTTTGCATTTTGTCAAAACTGCTGTGAAAGTGTTCTTAAAACGAACATGTGCTGGGTCATCATCCGAGACTGCTATGACATGAAATATATGCAGAATGCGGATAAAACAGAGCAGGAGACATACAATTCTCCCCCCAAGGAGTACAGTCACAAATTTAATTGATGAATTATTTTTTTAACGAGCATCATCAGCATGGAAGCATGTCCTCTGGAATGGTGGCCAAAGCATGGAAGGAGCATACAAATGTTTAGCATCTCTGGCATGTAAATACCTTGCAATGCCAGCTACAAAAGTGCCATATGAACGCCTGTTCTCACTTTCAGGTGACATTGTAAATAAGAAGCAGGCAGCAGTATCTCCCGTAAATGTAAACAAACTTGTTTGTCTTAGCGATTGGCGGAATAAAACGTAGGACTGAGTGGATCTGTAAGCTCTAAAGTTTTACATTGTTTTGTTTTTGAGTGCAGTTATGTAACCAAAAAAAATCTGCATTTGTAAGTTACACTTTCATGATAAAGAGATTTCACTTCAGTACTTGTATGAGGTGAATTGAAAAATACTATTTCTTTTGTTTATCATTTTTACAGTGCATATATTTGTAATAAAAAATAATAATATAAAGTGAGCACTGTGCATTTTGTCTTCTGTGTTGTAATTGAAATCAATATCGAAAATGTAGAAAAACATCCAAAAATATTTAATGTTTCAATTAGTATTCTATTGTTATAAGTGCGATTAATCACAATTTTAATCACGAATAATTTTTTTGAGTTAGTCATGTGAGTTAACTGCAATTAATTGACAGCCCACACACATAATTTATGTTATGAACAAGCACCATGTTAAAATAATCACATACATGTCATCCCAGTATCCTTACAAATCCAGATGAGTTGCTCTTTTCGAACTGGACATGTGCCAACTATTCAAGCTAAATATATCACACATATTCTATATATCTTTCATTGATGTTTGTGTAGTAAAAATTTTGCTTAAATAAAATCCTGTGAGTACGGTTGTAATCTCTTCCTTCCCCCCGTTTTTGTTTTAAATCTGGTTTCTCAGTTCCTTGTGCACCAGGAAGTATAACAATAGAAGAGGACAACCCTGGTAAATTGTCAGTGTCATGGTCTAATGCAGATCTTGGAGATTATTACGTGGTTTTTGTGAAAAGTGATGATGGCTTGGAAGTGCACTGCAACACATCCCATACCCAATGCCACTTCCAATCAGATTGTGGTTTCACCTACTTCATTAGTGTCTTCGCATATAACAAGGCAGGGCAGAGTCCTTTAGGGGATATATTCAATTATACGACTGGTAAGTAGCACTTTGTTTATGCAAACATATTTGGTGATTCCCCTAGTAGTATTAACAATAGAACTAGTTGGAAAATGTTTTTTTTCCTGCAGAAAATATCAATTTTTGGTGAAGAATTGAAAGGTGAAAATTTTTGGCTGCTACCCCAAATTTTGGACAGAAAACTTTTTGTTTAAAACAGAGCATTCAGATTTTGAAATGCTGCCTTGGTATTCCATGGGAGTTGTCATGCAAGTGCCACATGCTCCTATTTTCCTGTATAGGTTGGGCTCCGTGGTGGACTACATCTCCCATAATACACCACATTCTCCTCTCTTTCTGATTTACTTCAGTACATCTTCAAAGTCCCTGGCCATGGTGTGTCATGGGAGATGTAGGGTGGCTGTAGAACTTGGCCTATAGATGCAAATGTTTTGGTGTTCAGTTTTTCAACAGAAAGTTGAAATTTTCTACAGAAAGCAGATACTTGTCACTGAAAAAAATTAGTCAAAAACCCAATTTTCCATTGGAAAAAAATGTTTTTGATGAAAAATTTTGACCAGCCCAAATTAACAATGATTACCAGTGCTTTAGTAAATATATATTTTTAAAAGGAAAAGGGTTAAACTTTAAAGTGTAGTCAATGTTTATTTGAATAGCTAGTTTATCAGTCAAGTATGCCACCAGCTTATAAATTACAAGGTTTGATCATTCAGTCATTCTAAAACATGTTCAAAAGGTGGGGAAGGATAGTGTTATGGATGCACAGGACTGGAGTCAAGATATCTGAATTCTAGCCCTGGCTCTGCCATAGCTTTGCTGTGTAATCTTCGGTAAGTCCCTAACCTTCTCTGTGCCTGTTTCACAATGTGTAAAATGGGGAAATATCTGATTATGAGGCTTAGTTTGGTGATTCATAAATGTTTGAGAACCTCAAATGGAAGGTGCAACATAAGTGTACTGTATTATTTCAGATTAATGGATTATTACTGAATTCTATTGTAGGGACACTAAAGAGATGTAAGAATACACTTTGACTATAAAAAAGAGTATGCAATAGAATTCTCTTTGTCCAGATATCATGAGGGACATGGCACTTTTTTTTGATAGATTAAGTTTTGGATAAATTAAGGACTTCAATGTGGGGAACATAATTCATTTTTAAATTTTTGATAATGGAGGTTTCATATAAGAGGTGTTTGTGTAAACAAGTCACTACCCTGTTTAATATGTAATATTTTTCAGTTCATGAGCGCTGTTGACATTTCCTCTCTGTTTTGGTTTTTTTAGCACCTTGTTGCCCCAGTGACTTTTATCCAGTGTTTGTGTCCAGCGATACAGTTGAAATTGTCTGGTCTCCTGTCCGTGGTGCTGAAATGTATGAAACAAAAGCTGTTGATGGGGTTGGTGTAGTATTGTGTCATGACACTGCCACAATTTGCATCCTGTCTGCATTGCAGTGTAACACCCAGTATAACATCACTGTGTATTCTTACAGTGAAATCAGGGACAGCAATACATCATGTGAATCTAAATATGTGGCAACAGGTATATAGCTATTTTTCTCACGTCTCTTAACACACGGAATAATTAGCTGTTTGCGTTGTTGTTGTTGTAATTAGTTAAATAATTAGTTAACAGTCGTAAAGTGCTTTGAAGGTGGAAAACATAATGTGAGTGCTAAGAAAGGTTATTATAATTCATAGTTGCAAATGAAAAGAAAATCTAATGTCAAGATTTTCAAAAATGAGTGCCTAAGATTGGATTCCTAAATCCATAACCAGGCACCTCAATAAGTGGCGAGGTTGGAAGCTGCTAGGTAATCAGCACTTCTGAAAATGAGATTTATGATTCCAGTATGTATATTTATATGCAAAACCTTAACATGTCAGTTTTTCAAGAGTTTTTCCCTGTAAAACTCATTTAAAGTTTATATGTTCATAAACTGTTCCAAATTAGTCAAAGTTTATTGACTAGGATATCACTGTCAGAGTGAGTTTGTCAAATATCTACAATAATCTGCAGCTATTGACATAACTTCCATTTTATATTGTATAGCTATGTACTGATAATAACACATCTTAAATCTCCTCTATCTAAAATCTTTCAGCTCCATGCAGTCCTGAAATAAAAAACGTCTCACAGGATGATCTTTCCATAATTAGTGTGCACTGGCAGGCCAATAATAATGAAGCTATATACACTGTTACTGTTAGAGGAGAGGCTGGATTGTGGCATTGCACAAGTTCTGGAAATTCCTGTAGCATAACTGGTCTTCCCTGTGGATCAGTTTTCTCTATTAGTGCTGTGGCAATTACCACAGCAGGGCAGAGCTTACCTAGTTACAGTGTTCCTTTAGAGACAGGTACGTAGCAATCAATATGTAATTGAAAATATAACCTTTATTTTTTATATATATATATTCTGTGCTAAATGTGTGTGTCTCTATGTCCATGTAGTTTTTTTTTTCACAATGTATCTACATGTATTACTCTTTCCTACTGAATGGAATGGCATCTGCTCAAATGTGTGTGTGTGTGAGAGAGAGAGAGAGAAAGAGAGAGAGAGTGAGTGAGAGATCATGTTACTCTTTAGTAGCTGAATCCTGCTGATAAACCCAAATACAGGTACTTATGTTTCCTGGGTCACTGCTAATTAAGCTATAATGGCATAATCTCTTTATGCAATGCATGGCTTCCTTTTCAGCACTTTGATTCTTAATGTGGCTGAGAAAACCACTGAGATTCTGATGATGCATTGTAGACATTTTTTTTATTACCAAGATCTACCAGCTGGAACAATCTTCACATAATAATCCTGGGGTAATAACTGTCTCACACAATGGGTGAAGAAGGAATAAATTATTTATCTTATGCTATTATTCTATATATTAGATGTTAGCTACTGTAGCATGCCGAAATTTAATATCTGACTATTTTGGTAACATTAGCTAAAAAGTACTTAGTTTTCCTCTTTTTTTTTTAATTGCTACTACGATTATTTTTCTTCCTAAGGGCCTGACCCATCTCCCACTGAAGTTAATGAAAAGACTTCAACAAGAGCTGGATCAAGCCTTAAGATCAGAAAAATGTAGTTGACAAAACTGGCAGTTTTTGAATAGATTTTAAATAAACCTCTATCCTGATATAACGCGGTCCTCGGGAGACAAAAAATCTCACCGCGTTATAGGTGAGACCGCGTTGCTTTGGCCCCCCCGTTCCTTGTTCCCTGACCACCCCCTCCAGAGACCCCTGTCCCTAATCACCCCCAGGACCCCACCCCCTACCCAACCCCCCTGCTCCCTGTCCCCGACTGCTCTGACCCCTATCCACACCTCCCGCCCCCTGATAGGCACTCACCGGCAGCAGCAGGAAGCGGAGTAATATGGCCCCAGACCACTCTACTCTGCCACCTCCCAGCTGCGGCGCTCCACTTCCCACTGCCGGTGAGTGTGGGGAGGTTGAGGAAAGGACGCCTCCCGTACTCATCTGCGGCAGGAAGTGGAGCGCGGGAGCTGGCGGAGTATAGCGGGCTGGGGCCGGGCTGCTCCGCTTCCCGCCGCCCGTGAGTGCGGGGAGGTTGGGGAAAGGACCCCCACTCACCTGTGGCGGGAAGCGGAGCACCGCGGCTGGGAGCTGGAGGAGGACACAATAAAGTTGGGAGCAGGCTGGGGCTGGGCTGCTCCGCTTCTGCCGCTGCCGGTGAGTGCGAGGGGGATCCCTTCCCCAAAACCACCTTCCCCGAGCGACACAGCTGGGGCCGGGGCGAGGGAAGCAGAGCGGGCTGCTCCTGGCCCCCTGCTAATTCCCTGGGCCATTCTGGGACTGCAGGGCCCCCAAAATTGCCCCCCCCCAGCTCCTGCCTCCTAGACCCTGGCGGGGGAACCCCTGACCGCCCCCAAGACCCTCTGCCCCTTACCCAACCCCTTGGCCCTGGCCCGGCACCGTTAACACGCTGCTCAGAGCAGCGTGTCAGAGCTTTACCGCTTTGTATGCAAACCCGTGTTATATCAGGTCGTGTTATATCAGGGTAGAGGTGTAAACTATTTCTAAAACAAAATAATTGACAAAAATATCTGCATAGAACCTCAGTGGACACAATAAAGTTGATCTCCCTTTCTTTGTTTCCTTTTAAGCTCCTTGTTGCCCTAATGATCTGACAGTAACTCAAGTGATGCAGTCTATAACAAATATCAGCTGGTCTGTTGGGGCTGGTGCAAAGACATATATAACAATACTGGAATCACTGAAAGGACCAGCCAAGTGCCACACTCTCCAAAACCACTGTCTCCTGGGATGCATTACATGTGGCACCAACTATACAGTGTCTCTGAAAGTGATTAGTGAAACTGGTTTGGCCTCATACTGCACATATCAAGACTATTCTTCCAGTATGTAAACGATAAATGGAATTGAAAAGAAAAAAAATCAGAGTATAGTACGCGGATGATTTATTTTCATATCAAGGTTGTATGTGAGATTAAAGAAATTGCTAAAACCCGTGCAGTTCCCTGTTTTAAATAGTTAAATATACTTAGGATGAAATTCATGCAAGGTCCTCTGTATCACTTAAACTTCATGGTAGGGCTGCACTGTGGGGGAACTGAGGCAGACTGTGCAAGGGGACTTTTGTACTCTTTGTGCACTATGGAAGGGGGTCACACAGCAGACCCAAACAAGCCAATATCTACTTGAAGTTTGGGGATGGGAGAGAACATAAGAACGGCCATACTGGGTCAGACCAAAGGTCATCTAGCCCAGTATCCTGTCTTCCAACAGTGGCCAGTGCCAGGTGCCCCAAAGGGAATGAACGGAACAGGTAATCATCAAGTGATCCATCCCCTGTTGCCCATTCCCAGCTTCTGGCAGAGGCTAGGGACACCAAGAGGTTCTACAATTGTGTGAATCCAGTAGCCCTAACATTCCCCATAGTGGGTGGGGCGCAATAGTGACCAGTATTCCAATGTATGATACTAAACAGTGTCTGGAGAGGGGCTGTATTCCAGCACCACAGCCTGTTTGGGAGTTTGGAGGGCGACTTTCATTCCCTTATTCCCCACCATTGCCTTGTACAATTACCCTGATTTTGTGTGAGATGATGAACCTTTGTAGTTCGAATGTAGGTGTCAGGTGTGAAACCTGTTAAGAAAATTTATAATTTCCTTTCAAGAACAAACATAATCTGTAGTTTAGACTTAATCTTATTTTCTTTGTTAGGTGCTTGCTGTCCTTCTGGGGTGAAATTATATAGACTGGGCAATAATGGTATCCGAATATACTGGCGAGCTTCTGCAGGGTTGATAAGTACAGATCTATATGGATCAAAAGGCAATTTCACCTGTACCCCTACTTCAGGTTTGAGTTATTGTGATGTCACCGAGATACCTTGTGGGGATGTCTATACAGTGGTAGTTTCTCCTGTTCCTGAGAAAGGATCAAAGCTTACACTTTGCCCTAAAAAAATATATTCAGGTAAAACTCAATTATAGACCTTTCAACTATGTATATTTTGTTAGATGCATTTCAGTGTAATTTATAGACTATTTATATAGGGCCAAATTCTGGCTTGTAGTTGTGTCTGGTCATATTCCAGAATAAGAGGAAACAAAGATACAGCATGGAGCAGAAGTTTTCTATCCCAGTGCTGGCTCACCACATAACCTGAAACATAAGGGGCTTTTCAGGGCCAGGGCTTAGAAATCAAGGACATTTTCTGCTTATGTGCTTGGCTGTAAAATGACACACCCCAATTCACATGAATTTCTCTTGATCCTGACATGAATAATCAGTATTGGAGCAAAGGGCTGTGTGTGTTGAGTCTGGATACTAGTGGTTTATGTAGATGGAAAGGAATGACAATAAAATGCACAACAAGGCTGCTTTTTGCAGCATGGTTTACTCTTTTGGGGATCAGTTTTAGTTGTTGGGTACCAAACTCTTATTTTTTTTCTTAGTCTGCTTTTAAATTAATGTAATTCTTCATATGTACTGGTTTTCAAATACCTTAATGCTCTCTTTTTAATTAAAAAAAAAATCAGAAGCAACACTAGTGAGCCACCCTTATAAAAACAAACTGTCTCTACAATCTTCCTGTAAAAATTATGCTTCATATTAGCAGAATTATCTTGGAAGCACTGAACAAAAAGCCAAACAAACAATGATTTATTTGTTCATGATAGACATTCCAATCCATTATGGAATTATTTTTAAAAATACTAAACTTTAATGAGATTGCCTAATTGTATAATATGGCCCTTACTATACAAATTGCTAATGTTTTTCAGCTTATAATTATACACTTAACTTTCATGCCCCTTCTTTGTATTTCATTCTAGTGACCTGCTCTGGAAGTTCTGTTGGAATGGGTACGAGAATGCTGTCAGCATTTCACCTCTAATGAATATGGTGGTTCTAGTGAGATATGTTTCTCTTAGAATGAAAGAGTACTTTACTTTTAAATAACATATATTATTTTCTGGCAGGGGGACTCTCTTAATTCTATCACAGATAAAATATTTACTCCCAACATAATATGTATTACAACTTCTATAAGCTACATTGTATAAAACATATATACCATGGCCTAGATAGATCCTCAGCTGGAGCTAAGAAGCACACAATATGACTCAGGAGGGAGTGTGCAAAGATGGTTTTGGTCCCCTCATGTTGGGGTCGCTCTGTGCCAATCCAGTCCTCCAGTGTAAGTTAGAACAGCCAGAAGGCTGCTGTTAAGTACAATGCCTGCCAAAGGCCCCAAAGGGCTCTTATAACAGCCAGGGATTGCTGAGGTCCTGGGAAATACTAGCCATATCCATTTTCTCCTGGCCACAGCCCCTACTACAGTTGTAAGAGGGAGGTTGGCAAAGCACCTGTATGCCAGCTGTAGAAAACCAGAGGATTCCCCTATATGGTATTCACCCTGCGCAAAAAATGACAAACTAGTGAGAGAATCTGGTCTTACACATATGTCCAAGTGAGATCCATGAAATTAACTGAAGGCATATTATAACAGCACAAACATGTCATACATTTATCTTGTGTCTATCTGCCCAGTGCCCAATAAAATGCAAATTTTGAACAGCACGTAAAAACCATTGGAACATCTTCCATGAGGATGTGGTATTCTGGTCACTTAAAGTCTTTAAATCAAGACTGGATGTCTAACTTTCCAAAATTCTGAGGAGTTTCAACCAGCCACAAACAAAAATACATGTCAGGGAAATATTTCATCATTGTTCCCCAAATGTGTAATTCACACCCACAAATTACACTTCTCTGAGGCCCGGGAGAGGCAAGATTCAGCTTTGAGCTACTAACAGCATTTTCTAAATGCCATAGCTGTGAAGTTTGAGCTCTCACAGCCTTACAGAGGTAGAAACAAGAGCTTTATATCATTAAGGAGATTTTCTCCTTTCTAATCAGAACCAGCACTTACCTCTCCCCTTCCAGGGTTAGAGACACTACACTTTAAAGTTATGTCACCTTTATATACAGAAAAGTTATTTTACAACTTTTGGAGATGGCTTCCTTTGAGCCTTGCACAGTTGGATTCCTGGCAGCTAGCTTTACAGGCATAAGGTTACCAAAAAATGGTCCTAATTTTGTAAAACTCAGAAAAACATTCCTAAAATACTTTTTCTCCAACATATGTGGCACATTATAGAACTCGTGATTGGTGTGGTGTGGTATAGTATAAATGCTTTACTGGTGTTTAGTTGAGGACGGTGCCCATCTGTGGCTTCACCCCTCTTGTGTATTGGGACCATTCCAAACTCATTCAAATAAAGACTTGTTAACAACATCATGTATTCTTAAACTCTAAATAGACTTAAGTGGGACTCCAATCACCGCCTACACAGATAAATAGCTATATATATATCTTGAAAAATTAGATTATGAGTATGTTTTACAAATATTACCTATATTTTGGCCTGCAGCCATACCACATCAGGCTGTATTCTCACTAGTTCTTACAAGCCAAGTAGTGTCAGGCCTAGTCAGCACTTAGATGGAAAAACAGAGTGCTAGTAGAAGGGTGTAGATGTGTCATTTAAGGAACATTATACCCTCTGAATCTGTACTGTCCCAGTAGTCCAGCATAGTACTGCAAGACTTTTATACTCTTACATGAGACCTAAAACTGAGGTTTGAACCACTCATGGTCAGCAAAGAGTCCATGGCACTTTTTGAAAGTATGTGTTCTATCTTTTAGAGCCTGGCCAAGTTACAATTATTAATTAAATTGAAGTATATTGTGCCACTGATTTTTGAAGCAGCACTTACTTTTTGCTAACAAATTGGTGACACTGTATGGTCCACTCTAAGTTTTTTGTGTGGTTTCAAATGAATACAATCTTTCCATTCAATTTCCTAACTGAAACTGCTGGGGACACCTACATAAGCAACATTTATTGACTGTGTTGGTCATTTATGTTTTTCTCTCACCTGAATTTGTTTAACCCTCTGAATTTTTGTTGTAGTGATCTATAGAGGAAAGAGAAGTGCAGAATAACATTTTTCTGGATGGAATCATTGGTTCAGATAAGCAGGTAAGAAAAAGAGTTTGTGTTACTTGAATCACAACTGTAATTGGGGTGTACTAAATGAATTAAAATGTTTAACTTTTATGAATCCTCAGGACCCTAGAGATAAATTCACTCATCCTTATTAAACTGCATTAACCTCCTGAGGACCAGTATACTCATTAGGGATACCTTGTATTGTGTCCAACCCCACATCCAATGAGGACTGTTCTTCTACCCTGCATAATTCAGCTCTTATCCCCCTTTCAATAAGAGCCATTCTCTACCTCATTAGTCCTTTCCTAATATCATGCAGCTTTCACATTGAGAGCCCCATAACTCCAAGCAGGTGAGGAGACTTGAGATCCCACACTCACCTGCTTACTGCCTCTGCTGAATTGAATTAGGAAGCCCCACCTCCCAAGTACTATTGCTCTGTATCACTCACTCCCTGCTGCATTTGGTCTGAGGGCAATGGAGTCACTGTAGGTAGCAGTCCTGACTAGTCCTGCTTGCCAGTGGCCACAAACCCTCCCTGCTTCCCATACAACTCCCCTTGGCAGCCCTAGAACAGCTAGATTTGGATCTAAACCAAATCCCCAGATGTGAGCAGCCCCAACCTTTGGGGAAGTTTAGCATGCAGACATACATCTCCTACTGGACACACGTTCATTAGAAATGTGCACAGAACTATCTGGGGCCATAAATCTCCCTGTAGTACGGTGTGACAGGGCAAAGCCAGATGGCTATAGGAAAGTAGTGAGAAACAGGTATGTTAGCCCTAGGCTAAACAAATCCCTGTTACCATGGTAACCAAATGGCAGTTGCTCCAGGTTAATCAAGACACCTGGGGCCAATTAAGATCCTTCCAGAAAGCAGTGGAGACAGCTAGGTTGATTGGGACACCTGAAGCCAATCAGGGGCTGGCTGAAACTAGTTAAAAACCTCCCAGTTAGTCAAGTGGCCATGCATGTCAGGAGCTGTAGGAGGAAGTTGCACTGTTGGAGAGACTGAGCAGTACATACCATATCAGGCACAAGGAAGGGGGCTCTGAGATAAGGGTGAAGTGGAGCTTGAGGAAGTGGGGGCTGCTGTGGGGAAGTAGCCCAGAGAATTATATGCATCCTGTTTCTAAAAGATCAGCTACTATAGCTAATACTATCAGGGGCCCTGGGCTCTCCCCTTTGCCCCCCTGATTAATCACTGAGACTGGGAGACAACAGACTGTGCAAGGGAGGATAGTTTCTCCTCACCTCCCTCACTGGCTTATGATGAAAATGGCTCAGTAGACTGTGACCCTTGCCCCTAGAGAGAGAAGGGCTATGTGGAGGGTCACAGTGAGCCTCTGAGGCTAGCGAAATCCACCAGGAAACACAGGACCTACAGAGACAAGGACAGAGCTTTGTCACAACAGTCAATAATAAGAGCTGTACAGGGGTGCTAAGTGTGGGTTGCTAATGTTAAGCTAAGTAGTAGGTCTATGTGCAATAAAAGCAGTTCTGGAAATAACTTGTCAGTGAACTGCTGTCAAAATAAAATAAGCAGTATTAAAATTATTGAACTATTTGGATTTTAATATTTGGTAGCAGTTTAGTCCCACAAAATCGATTTTAACCATCACCTCCCCCCAAAAAGGGTTCATGGCCTAATGTTAAAATGTTTGTTGATTGACACAATTAAAATGAAAATAGGCCCAATCCCCCTAGAAATGTCTTCTTTGAGCAGAGGTGACTGTTCAGCTTGTGGATCTTGGGAGTGAGCAGGTATGCCATCTCCATGACATTTCCCCCCCCCAACCTTGCTGTAATCCTATGGCAAGGATGAGGCTTTGCAGCTGGAAAAGTAGTGGCTGTTATCCATACCACACACTGCCTCCTTGGAGAACACACAAATAATGCTGACCCTTGCTCTCCTACTTCATGGTTATGAATGAAGTGACTATCTCATCTTAGAGATAATTTGGGGGCAATAGTCAGCTTGGAAAGTGATGGAGCAACAGTTCCTGGAGGTTCCAGGTGGCCATGGAGGGCTCGGGATGTATGCAGACATTGGGGCTGGCCTTAGCCTCTGTGGATCCCTCAAGACCTTATACAGCTTTTGGACTAACAGGGTTAGGAAGGTAACCCTCTACATTCCTACGTAATGATGCTGTGGAAGCTTCATGAATGAGAACTTGAAATTTCCTCTTTTCTTTCTGGAGGCTTTGTAGAGAAACCTTGGGGAGCTTTATTTTATTTATAAAATAACCATTCCTATGCAGTGTGGAAACTCCAGCAGGTCACCATTATTTTAGTTCTTGACAACTGGAAAAATTAAACTGACTGGAAACAAAAGTGAAATTGGCAGTGTATATAGTTTCACAGGACAACCTAAGTGACATTTAAAAAGTAAACACCCCATAATATGAGAGAGTACATTATAAGCATTCTTTCAGGTTTAATAAACCTATCTGTAACGCAAGTACAGTATTTATTGGGGAGGAATAGAGGGAGAGAACCATGTTTTGCCTTCAGAATTGCACTACTTAGTAAGAAATAGCTAGTTTTTATTTCCAATTTAGGGTTTGAAAAGGTAGAACATAGAAATTAGTGTTATTCTGTTTGACCCCCCCCAACCCCCGCAAAAATAGTTTTAATGCAGTAGGTTTTTCTTTATAGTCCTAACAGCATTTTCAAACATGGGTCCCTAAACTTAGTCATGTACATAGGTGGTCTTGAGCCTGCTTTTTGAATCATAAGCAATCAGTTTCTAATGATGTTTGGGCCAAACATGAGCCATAGCTCTTATCTGGCATACAAACAACTGATTTTTCTGTATTCTAATGTATATTTTTAATAGGGTTCCATACAAAAGCACTATTGACTTTTGGCAGTTG